TTATTTCTTTTCTAAAATAATCTAGCATTTTAGGCAATATTGATCATAATCATTTTTTTTTTTTTTGCTGATATAACTAGAAATTCTTATTTCCGATTCGTACGTCATCAACTAATCAAAATTCGGATAAGATAAAGAGCTGCTGAACTCAAGCTACAAGGAAGAATCAAGCCGCCAATGGCAACACAACAACGAATACGGAAGGATACGATGAAACATGATTATAATTACTTAACAAATAGAATTTTAATAGTTTTTTTCAGTTAAAATGTATTAATTTAGCTTCGCTTCTGGATAAGCACGGGCGAGCGCCGGTGAGATAAATCCCAGTCTAGCCACAACTATGTAGAATTTGCGATCGTTTAGTAAATGCTGCCATACCACGTCTAGTAGCGTTACATCTGCGATACGGAAACATAAATAAAATCACGGCAAGTGTTAAAAAGCAATAATAACAATCCCTAAGTAAGCACAACTTCGCCTCAACACCAATCAACGATCGATATGTCGGGAGTTAAATTAAAACAAACAGTAGCTTCAGCAAACAGTCAAATAGTAGCCGGTTTAAAAAGACATAAACGGACAATTTCTTAAAATACCTGAGTCTGTCGAAGAGAGAAATTTGTGTTTTTGTACATTTTTGCTAAATCATAGTGTGGTATAAGTCATTTTAGTAATCAACCTAGATAACAAAGAAGCTGTCAATTAATAAGTACGCAAAGAAATTTGGTATAAACAACAAATTTTCTATAAACAACAGATGTACTAGATGTGTAGCATCTGTATAGGCCACGAATTTTGAAATTCAGTTCAGATAGTGTTTGAGCGTCAATGAATACATTAGTGCAAGAAAGAATACAGTCCCTTTGATTGCGATTTGCGTAGAGCTGGAAGAATCTACGACAGAGTCTTCATCGCTTCATTTTAATATTAACTTGGATTCTCGATGAGCACAACCAAGCGGCACCTTCGTACAAATAAATGAATAAATAAACAAATAGAATTTTAAGTAAACGATTTATGTCGCGCGTGCTACCTCTGCAAATTCTGGCCATTTATTTCTAAAGGACTAAAAGGTGGAAAAAACTTGAAAAAAACTTTCTAACTTACTTCCTTATAAGGTAAGATTGCCACTATATGTTCAGCAAAAGTTTGGCGAACGAATGAATTTTTCTCCGAAGCAATTGTTTGATATGCGAATGACTCCTTCTTTCTGTACTTTCTATATTATAAAAGCAATAAAGGATGGATTGCCATGCGTTTATCGGTGAAATAAAGCACTGGGAAAGTTGGGAGAACACTTAAAAAGGCAAATAGTCACTCGCTACGCTAGTGATTTTTTTAGTGTTCTCCCAACATCCCCGCGTGCTTTATTTCACCAATAAACGCATGGCATCCATCCTTTATTGCTTAAAGAAAACAATGAAAATAAATTAAATAAATAATTAACAATGAAACACGATATTTTCATAGCAAGGTGTTTCATCTTTATTTCTGTACTGAACCAAAAACAAATGAAATCATAACAAAATGATTGGCCAGTTTAATGCAGATAAAATATTAGGGTCTGGGCACGAGAATGGCGATGGTTTAAGTGCATACATGTATGTCAATCAACAGCATAGTATGATATATTTTAAGAAAGAGTCTAAAGATATTCTCTTCTATATGCACATGACTTTGTTGTTGCCTTTATGTTTTAACAACTGAATGACGTTAACGGGATGAGTGTATATTCATTTGAAGTAACGTTTCTGTGTTATCTCTATTTCTCAAAGAAACAATTGAAAGAAATAGAGCAAGTACTCAAAAAAAGCGCGAACGAATATGCTGCTGTTGAGGCTAAAGAGCAGGTATTACGAGAGAAAGAAGTCGACATAAAGCATGAGGTGGAGAAGTTTGATGGTATCTTGAATGAGAACCATCATAAAGTTAAACATTGGAAGAACGAAGTAAGGTTGGAGGTCATGAGTCAGTGCATTTTATTTCCACTCTATTTATCGCTATCATTATAAATTAATATTTTTAAAATGTTGCTTTTTCTCACCATGTAGTTAAGTAAGCTGTGCCTTCAATCAATTGGTTTGTCTGATCAACAAGAGGAATCCACCCTACCCACCTTAACCCCTGAACAGCTTCAGTGTGTTGAAAAGGATACAGTCTTTTATGAAATAGCTGTTCAACAGTTATTTCATAAAATACTGTATCCTTGTCAACACACTTTCAAGTTGAAGAAGAGAGGCTTAGACAGATAAAGCCAAACATGGCTGCCATTGCTGAGTACCGTAAGAAAGTAAGAAGAGCAATCTTTCTATTAGATACTGTTATCAGTTAACTTGTTTCTGTAATTTCTTATTTTCAGTTATCCCTTCACTCCATTCCTTTCTATTTCTTTCATTCACTCCATCCATTCCTGTTCTTTCTTTCATTCGCTCCTTCCATTTCTTGTTCTTTATTTCATTCCCTCCTTCCATACTTCCTTTTTCCCTCTTATTTTTCTTTTCATTTCTTCTCGCTTTTTTTCCATGATTTTGCATCCTTACCATTCTAATAATTCATTCTCTCCTTTCTATTTCAACTACAGTATCCATATACAAACACATTTCCTCTTTCACTCCTGTACTCCTGCACAGTGCATAAATGTCTCATTTAACTTCCATTAACTTGTCCTTTCTCATTCAAACAGGAAGAAGCATATCTTGCACGTGTTCGTGAACTGGACCAAGTCACATCAGATCGTAACAAAAAGCGGCATGAACATGAAGCCTTACAAAAAACACGTCTTGATGAATTCATGGCAGGCTTTACTTTCATCACATCAACACTAAAGGAGATGTACCGGGTACTGTGGCACTTTTTTTGTCTTAAAACAGTCAAGGAACACTTGTCAAGGAACACTTGTACCATTTGCATTCATCACATGAATATTTTTTTTGTTTTTGTTGATTTATGGACTGAATAATTCATCAATTTTAGGATTTATCTGCAATTTGTTGCTCTGTATGCTGCTAAATATCAATGTAGCTCCCCATAAGACCATGAATCTATGCAGAATTGTTTCAAAACAATATTTGTACAGTTCTTCAATCAGTGAATGGTATTATTTCTCTTCAACAGATGATTACCTTAGGAGGGGATGCTGAGTTGGAGCTGGTTGATAGTCTGGATCCATTCTCAGAAGGCATTGTGTTCAGGTAAGGAAGACATTATAAAAAGTACTGGTGATCATTTCATCTTAATCAACATTTCTGATGATGATAAAGAGATGGATGATGACAGATATAAATATGACAAAATACTGAATATTATAAAGTTTTTTGTTTTTTTTTCTACTTGGTTTACAGTGTCCGCCCAGAGAACGAGACATGGAAAAACATCTCAAATCTTTCAGGAGGGGAAAAAACCCTCAGTTCTCTTGCACTGGTAAGGAATGCTTAATTGCCAAATTATGGATTTTAATCTTCTMTCACTCGTTACAACACGAGGTTACTGCTCTTTGGAGTATGCTACATAATTGCCCCAACTATCAAGAATTGTTCTTTCACGGCACCACTTAATTGTAATTGATTGCTCCAAATGCAAAAATTAATACAATTTCAAAACAAAACTGAAAACTTGAATACTTTGAATATTTTGAGAATAAGATATGCTTCCTCTGCAGGTATTTGCTTTAAATAAAATCAGACAATCGCCGATTTACTTTACGGGGAAGATCGAAATTCAAGATGATGTCAACGTAAATGGGTTAATCCATTATATTAAGGTGGATATTCCGGTTACTTTTATATTTATTTATAAAATTCATTAATATTCATAAGGCAAAACACAATAGAAATCATAGCCCATGAAGAGAGTTGTATATTACATACAGATCGCCCGCTCATATTGTATATATTACATAGATGAGTTACAGCAAAATCTTGCCTCTTTGATATTATATATATAACTAGCTCTACACTTTATGTGTATTGAGCACTCTTTAATGGGATCAGCTACTTCCTCATACAATTATTTCTATAGATGATATGTATATTCCTCCATTCTGTGTGTGTTTTCATTGCCTCCCTCACATTCAATTCTCTTTCTTTCAGCAGTTTAACCTTCATTCTCGTTAAGTTATATTTTTCATTATTTCTCCAGAACATGACCCAGATGACCCAGCAGTTCTTCCACGTAAAGGTCACGACGGACATATTCGACTTTACGCGGCTCCACACCCATTCTCCAGAAAGTGGGCCCATTGGAAAATAAGAATAAGCAAGGACGAGCTGTGGGTCCGGATTTGAGATGATTCTGGACGTAATACAAGAGCCATCGTCATGCGGGAGGACAACTTGCACTTTCCAGTTCAGAARAGTAACAACTGAAATGATTGCAAGCCTGTTTGTATAATGGTTASAGTGAACAAGTAGATTGTAACTTCCGTTACCTCTTAAATCTTATTAGATGAATGCGTCATTTTAGTTRTTTATTGTTTACGATGTTTTCTGACTGGACTACTTCTTGTATCAACCAAGAAGGATATCTTCTCATCTTGGTCGCCTTCGTCGATATAGTTGTGT